CACGACAAAGCCCACAAAAAAGTTGAGAAAGCGTCAGGCAGCATGTGTATTAGCGAGAGCGTCTAGCTTTCTTGCCATCGGTACTTGAAACAAACCGACAAGGCGTTCGCGCGACGCCCGCAGCGGGAATGCTTTCTTTCTTCGACAGTTCCGATAGCGGGTTGACATAATCCATAGGATGGGAACAAACCAGGCCTGTTCCTGAGGAGCCACGCGAGCGCTAAGTGGCACGATCGTCCCAAAAGTGGCTGATCTTCAAACGGTGATGTCTGCCCCTGCCTTAGATTAACGTCAGCCCTCGCATTCGATTAGCTGCTATAGTTTTCTTTTCGGCTTTTCCATAGACAAGCGCCTTGGGTTTTGTTCGAAACAAAATCTGCCGATGGAGGGAAACAACACAGCTTGTTTTTTTTTCTCTTGGTATTGAAGTCCGAATGTGGAGCTGAACACCCCGTAGCCGCTGCGCCGCCGCCACGAAAGTCAATTCAGTGATTACCTCCCAAGTGACTGGAAGCGACATGTCCCCCAGGGATAGCGTATTCCGCCCTATACAGTACCTGTCTGTCAAGTTTCGAATCCCGAATGTGCGTCTCTCGCGTATGCGCATACAGTACACGAGAAGGGGGGGCAACGACTCGCTTTCGTCTAGTGACCTTCACGCCGACATGCATGGTCCGACCGCGGTGCAGGCACTAGCCCGTATTTCGCTCCAGTGTCTAGTTCGAGAAGTCCCGCGTTCCCGCAGTTATACTCCGGTTGGTAGAGAGCGGCCGCCAACATGCCGTTCTGTAGTAGTCGGATTTGTTTTTTCTTTCTACTGACGAATTTTGCTGACTAGTACCTGAACGCCCCATCGCCTGGCAGTTCAACAACAGCCCATAAGGCCAACCAGTATCGATAAAGGGATGGCCTTCTCCACTTTTCATCAAACACCTGTTACCCGCAATCGAGCCACGTGGATTACATTGATCGACGTACTCTATTACACATTTCTCCTGACCACTTCAGCTCCAGTGTCTCGCCGTAATGTACGCTTCATTCTAGGAAGCGTGGTGCATCAGTGTAGCGACACCAATGCCGTTCCACTACTGTAACCGGGTAGTCTTGACGGACTAATGACAGCTGCGAATGTTTAAGATAAGGAGATGGATGGAGCAGTCATATGATACTGTGTTTCCCTGACACAAAATGCGCTGTTTGAATTCGTTTTTCTGCAGGCAGCCTATACCGTGCCGCTTCGTGCTTCGCTTCACAGCGCGGACATATGCATGCCCTGTGGTACTGTCATTTGTACGTGCATATGTATACGCACATACAAACCCGTCTTGCCATGATATCTTTCCCAGCATCCAGCGTACCAAGGCTATACTCGAGCCTGCTGTTAAGCGGGTTTTCGATGTAGCTTTACGTACCACAGTATTGTGCAACTCTACGCTTGGAGCCACGAGCCTGCACTCTGCAACCTTGCTTGCATCCATGCTCTGTGCACAAAGACAACCAAAGCTTCGGATGCATATTCCATGCTACCCGCTGGCGGGTATAACCTCGCTCAGGCTTTGCCGCCTAACACAGCCTCGACAGCACCCCAGCGATCAATGCTCCTCTTAATCAAACCGCCCATTAGCTCCCTTCCGACGACACCCCCACCACTCTTCTCCACCCTTCGAATCACCAAGTCTTTCGTGCCCTTCTTCCCACCCTGACAGTCTACAACTACACTGACAGTCTCTCTGCATACTCCTTCCTCGAAAGCATCGGGGTCGCTGAGTACCCAGTCTACGTCTTCATCCTCTTCCTTCCTGCCCTCAAACACCGCATACGTGCTGGGTATTGGCAGACCTTGCAATCGCAATCGACGCGCTTCTTGTGAATTGTCGGAACATAGTATCCCCTCAAACTCCTCGTCATAGTATGCGTGTGGTATAAGAGTGTCACGCAAAGCGGCCAGCATCGATATCCAGGCTGCGTCAAACGCATTTCCATCGATGCTTATGAAGAAAATGTCCAGATACAGAACCCAGTACCCCTTCAATTGTGTTTCTGCTTCCACATCTGGGTCGTCGGGGTTTGTAGAGGGTTTGTATAGAATACGGAGATCTGAAGCGCGGAGTAGTCGTGTTGAGTGAATAAGCGATCGTATCCGCGTGATGAGTGTTTGTGCGTATGTTGAGGGGGCGTTGCCCGGAATGTGCGAAGGTGTGCTTCCGGTAGAGAGCTCGACGTTTGGAACCACCAGCCTCAGTTCTTCTATTTCCTCACTATCGTCTTCTTGTGCTGTATCATTCTGACCTGTCAGGTCTTTGGGGTATTCAAAGGCACCTGATATGTCTTCCTCTTTCAAGATTTCTGCACGTACGCCGCAAACCACACTCGTGTTGCCCAGGCGCACAACTGCGCTGCCATTGCAATGTGTCAAGCTACCAGTGTTTACTCCTGGTGTTCGGAACTCATTGGCGGTTCGGCCGTTGGCGCGTACGGGCTTCTTCTTCTCAGCAGAGAGGTGCGCTTGGAGGAACGGGTGTGGAGAGACGGCGGCGAAGATGGGACGGGGAAAGGTGAGAGCTGGAGGTGGACGGGTCTCGGTCGCCATTGAGAGGATTTCGATGGTGGAGGCTTGGAAAGGGCAAGGTAACGTATTGCGCAGCGTGTTGTACAAGTCGAACCTTGACGTTGGGAAATTTTGGAGCTCTGGTTATGACGCGCTAAGTTTAAGCTTATTCGTGTGGGGCGCCCGCGATCATCTTACCATTTACGCATAAATAGATCGGCAAACTTCTGACATAGTCCGATGAAACAGAAAGACTGGTAATTAGGCACAGCTTGGGCTTACATGTAAACTAGTATTGGAATAGAAATAGTATTATAATCATGTGTATGCTCAACATGCGCTATGCAGCAGGGGTATTCCATCGAAGAAAAATGCAATGCGACGCTCCTCTGCCATGCCCACGCATCCAAATACATCCAAGACGCCGTATGCTGAACCAGCCGCCTTTCCTAGACTTTAACCACAATTCAAGATTAAGCAGAGTTTAGCCCGGCCTTGCCTGTCTCCTGCACAGGTGTCCACTTGCCCTCCTTCTTGAACTGATCACCCCTCAAGGTGGCCTGTGCAAGTTGCGAAATCATGTAGTCCCGGCCCTTGATGAACCACACCATCTGGCTAGGCAATCGGAACCCATTGAACGCACCAACACCTTTCTGCGTACCAATGGGGACAACTTGCTGTTCCTTCATGTTCGCAGTGTAGTGGCGGTCGCCCTTGTGTGGCTCGCCGGTCAAGTGGGCCAACAAATCGTTTTTGAGGTTCGTCATGGCTACAGGTACTGCGTCGTACATATCCATGACACCTCCTCGGGTGTACGAACCTACGTCACCAACCACGTAAACGCGGGGGCTGGCGGATTCGTGTTCGAGGCGGAGAGTCTTCGCATTGCAGGCGACACGATTGCGGCTGTCGAGCCACTCCTTGGGAAGAAAGCCAGTGTTGGGTCGGGTACCGGTCGCGTCAATGTATATGTCGGTTTCGAGTATCTCTCCGTTAGAGAGGTCCACCCTGGTCTTTCCGCCTTCCTCCTCGCTCATCTTGGATGACCCAATGACCCTTACGTCGTATGTGACGTTACACCCAAGTCGCTTCAGGAATTGCTCGGCCGTCTGTCCGATGGCAGGTCGGAGAAGAGGCAAGAGCTGCCTGTCGGCGACAAAGACTCTGATTTGGGCTTTAGGATTCTTGGGCGCAGACGCCATGAAGCCTGGCTTGCCATTGAGCATCTCTGCAATCTCTCCTGCTGTCTCGACACCGACTGGTCCGCCTCCGCCAATGATTACATCCTTAGCCGTCTTGAGGCCCTCCTGGAAAGCAGCATGTACCTTCTCAAGGGCTTCGCGGTCAGTAGCCTGTGTAAATAGCGGACTCGGTGTCGTGAATCCAGTTGCAATCACGAGAGCCGCATAGGGAATTGATTGCTGCTCGCCAGATGCGGTCTCAACAGAGACAATCTGCCCAGCAGCATCCACATGTGTCGCCATGCCTTGAATGAACTTGAACTTGGAAGAGGCATACGCGAATGCAGGCTCGATTGGGTAGAACGTCTTATCCGAAGGCATCATCTGCTTCGAGACAGCTTCCCGTGGTGAAGCAAAGCGCCACCAAAGATCCTTTGATGGATTGACCATGGTGACATTGTACGTAACACCATCCTTGTTGGGCAACTGAGGTACGACATGCCTGAGCAAGAAGTGGGCAGCGCTGATGCCTGCGAAAGATCCGCCGAGAATAAGGATGGTTTCGGTACTCATTCTGGGTGTTGTTGTTTGTTGTTGCACTCAGGAGGGGTAATTGGGGAAGACGACAAGAAAATAAACAAAGGGGTCGCAAAAGAAATTATTTCCAAGACGCATAGCATTAAGGTTTGGGGCGCGGTTCAAGACTCAGGATCATACCAAGTGGGGAGCCGTCATAATCGCGAGTCGTGACCCACAAAAGCGTCTGGACCGTTTTATCGCGGAGAGCACACCTATCATGGCTTTTGTAGATAGTTGTCGCAAACCTGTCAACACCGATCATTTGAAATATGCATATGTTCGTGCTTATCAATTGTATTGATTCCCATAGTCAAGCTTTGCAGGCGAGTGGCGGCATGTTGGAGGCTTGCACTTGTGAAGATAGCGCCAAGCTTAAGTATGTCGCTGCTAGCCCTTTCATGCTTAGTACTGATAACTGATCTGCCGCTGACTTGGTGTCAACTCAGATACGAGGAATTGCGATCAACACAGACCTATTCCGTACTTACATCTAGACCAAATACCTCGCTGACGGCCGTCTTAGGTAAGCCATAGTCATGTAGGGTCAATTCCTTTGAGCATTTCAAAGCGCCTGTAACTCCTCGAGCAAGGATCTATGGAGTCGAGCTGTTTACGCGTCCAAGATGCAAAGGTTCACATCAGCATGCATGCACGTACCTTCAGAACTTGCAACTAATACATGATGATGGCATGGGGAGCGTGCTAGAAGACTTTCATTCATATCTTTTTTTTCCCGAGGTATAACGCCAGCCCGGTATGTGCATGCAAAACTCGCCGCGGCTGCTGACCGTAATGATCATTGCATTCATGAAGTCCTCGAAACCAATGTACATACGGCAGGCCATCATTGCACATAGCCTCCTCCTCAACACTGCCTAGTCTTTGTTCGGCTAAGACTGGAGTAGCTTCTTACTCGACTTCAGCCTTCGACTCGAAGTTCTCGCCGGCGACCAGGTCGGGGATGTCATCGTCATCCTCGTCATCGTCGTCCTTCTTCTCGCCGTCCTCGCCCTTCTCCTTCTGCATGCTCTGGTAAGACTCGGCGAGTTTGCGTAGCGATGCGAGCGAGTCGGGGCCGAGCTGGTTGAGGATGCCGGGGACGAGCTCTGTCAGCTCCTTGTCCTCACCATGTCCGTAGATGGCGAAGGTGTTGGCGGGTACTGACGCGTGGACTACAATAGCAAAAATGTTAGTCGCTACAGGTACGGAAGCACGGGAGATATGGCAACATAAAATGCGGATGTATCTCCAGCGATGCAATGCTTCCTCCACCTCAAATACCCCCCCGGCATTGCAAGGAGTAGAAAGGTGGTAACGTACCCTTAGGTGCCGAGAAGTGAATGACGTTGCCGTCGCTCTTGAACATGTTGACCTCCTCAATGGCCTGGATAGGCTGGACATTGAGCTTCTTCAGCGCGGTCTGGAGCTTCTTGTCGTCGGTACCAGCGCCCCTGTGGACCTTCTTGACCTTCCTGCGGGGAGTGCCCTTGCCGCTATTGATCCAATTAGCCTCGTATATCTCATAAGTGCCATCCCCATCTGTGAGTCGCTGTTCGGCTGTCGCGGGTTGCGGTGGTGTTTCGCAAATTCGGAGCCGTTGTTTGGTGCGGGGCTGTCAAAATAGATTGCGAAGAGTGCTGCTTACCCTATGCACACATGTTAGCGGACAAGTATCCAGAGAAGATGAGCTGCTTCCTCCTGATGGAGATTTTGGGCCGAATTTCTTCTACGTACCAATGCGCACTGACGCCTGCATACGCGCCAACTTTGCGTGATCCATATTTGCGGTGTTGAGAAAGAAGGTGACTTGGTGAGGAGATCTGTGGCAGCCAAGCGTCAGCGGTCGGGCTACAATCTCACGGAAGGTCGAGCGGGTGAGGTTGTAGCGGATACGGGACCGGTACGCACCTGAATTCGGGATCGTGGCCGAGACTGGGAGTGTGGTGTAGCTGGTGAAGTTGTTGCGGGCATCGGCGAAACTCTACGGAAGCGCCGATTGTGTGCTTGCCTCGCTTGTTGGAAGCTCCTTCCCCGCAACGTCAGAGGAGAGGGGCGTGCGATCAACACTCGACAAGAGCCATTTCGAACACAAGACACGCATGCCTCCACCATGTACCACCGCCATTTGAACAACCAGCGAACCGAGTCGTATTCAAAGCTAGTCGCTTTGTTTCTTTGCTCCTTCTATTGAAAACTTTCTCAACACTGTCTGTCCTTATTAGGCAACTTTGGACTAACTGATGCTTCATCATGTCGGGCTGATAGCCCAGCTCTTTTTTTCTGGCAAAGAAGTATTCAATTTATGCGCGTTGGTAAACAGGAATGGTGGAAAGAAAGCGCAGTGCTAGACTGCATACACATTAACACTCTATGCAAACAATTTTTTCAATTTGGTATCAACGTCATCAACCCGAAGACATTGCTCAAAGCATAGCAATTCCAGCAAGACCGACAGCACCCAGCACCCATGAAATGGCTTGGGCATGTGTCGCCGCGCTGGCCGCTGTGGGCCTTGCTGCACTACCACTACCGCTACCAGACGCTGTGGGCTTGTCGTCGTCGTCGTCGTCGTCGTCATCCGAGCCACCTGTACCCGTAGCCGTTGAGTTGGGGTTACCTGAGATATTCTCTTGAGCCACCTTTACGCCCGTATTGTTCTTGCAGCTGTCTTGAAATTCCGACTGTGAGAGCTGCTTGTCGACAAGAGTAACGTCGGTGCACTGTATTTTTGTAAGCGACTTAGCGCGTCCATGTATCCTGGTTCAATGACCTACCTGGTACAGACCGCCAGAGCTGTGCGCATTGGTCACAACTTGGATAGATGCCTTTGTGCCAGCAGTAACGTTTAAATCTTTTGGAATGCTAACAGAGCCCAAGCAAAAATTACCCAGACCCTCGACCATAAGCTGTTGCTTCAGGACGACGCTGAATCCGCTTCCAGGGTTGTCACCAATCGCCATGTATACGGCGACATTTGTCTGTGGGTGGCCCAGGACCAATTGGATAGGACCACCACTGATAGGGAAATCGGTACGTTTATCTGAGACCTGATCGTAACCTCCGCAGGGGAAGTTACCCTCATTTTCCTCGTTGAAGCCACGCGACGGAGGGGAGTTGAGGTTGAAGTGAGCGAGAGTGAGAGGAAGAAGAGAGAGCGCGAGGACAGTGTTGGAGAGCATTTTGGACATTGATGGGTGAGTCTGTGTAGAGGTGTTGAAAGCTTGGGAGAGGAACAGAGGAGCAGAGAGAGCAAGAGGAATGGTATTAACGAGGGGGGGGGGTGATTTGGTAGAGTGAAGCCGCTTGCATGCGCCAGGCGGTCTAATAAGTACAGGCGCGTCGTTCCTTATTTATTAGACCCAAGGAATGGGCGCACTTGCTTCCCGTCATGCCGTGCATTCTTTCCCATTGCAGGGTGTGGCGTGTACATCGAGCCGATGAAGCCACATTTGTGCCCGGCAGTGGACTCTGGCACGCGCCGGTGCCAGAGGAATACAAGTTAATGAGCTATTTGGTTTGAGGCTTGATACTGGACCAGTGGCGGTATGGTCTGGTTGTTAGGAATCTGGGTGGACTATCCTGTGAATGAAGAAGCGTGAGCAAGTTTCTTACCAAAGCAGCGGTGCTATGGATGAATGGTCACTAGCGCAGGACAGGGGTCCATTTCACGTCAGCCCCACCCCTACCCGGCCAAGGCTTCGAGATTGCCATTAGCTTTGACACGAAGATCTCACGGAAACAATCTGTAGATGCATGTGTACACGGTGAGATGGGCATATGAGACGCAATCAAAGAAAGGAGAAATAAGCTTTATAGTCAAGACAAGTAAAGTCCGCCGATACACTGGTTGCAAATGACCGAGATCGGACCTGGCTGAATGCGAAGTATCGTTTGTGGAATATATCTAATTGGGTAACGAATCATCTAAGGGGCAGGTATTACGAGAGAATCCACAACATTAGACTCCGACACGACACGGATACAAAGTCAAAGCAGAGCCCCAGCGGCCATTAATGCGGTGCGGCCTGATTGAATCTGCCGAAAGCAAGTTCACCGACAAACGTGCCCGCTAGAACAGACAGAAAGTATCCGACATTGAAGGTCATGACTGCCAACATGCTGTTGTAGTGTTAGTATCAGTAGGCACAAGTTGTGAGATGGTCTGCTTACAGGAGGTATCCAACACCCGCCGCAACCGTCATCAGAAAGGCCCGTGGAAGATCGACGCCAAATCTCCAGGGTTGGATGTGAGATACTGGTGCAGACACAACACGGACATTCTCCTGAACGCCGTTGGTCGTAAGGATACCATGCGTCGAGTTGGCATCGTCGTCGAGGACCGTTTTCTCGCCAGCTACGACAACGTAGCGGCGCTGCAGGGCGTTCTTTACTGCTTTGATTTCAAGAAAGGCCTTGGCTGTGAAGATGGCGCGGAGGAGAACAGCGAGGAGGATGAGGAAGATGCACGTTCCAGCATATTGGCCAGCTGATGATGGAGTCCATGATTTGGAGTAGAGTGAAGTGTTGGTTGCTGTGAAGAAGGCCATTGCCATGCCCCCATGGCCAGATGTTTCGCTCGCATGCATTCCCTCCGATGACCCCATGGCCATTTCATCGTGGCCTCCGTGTGCAACCATTATGCAAAAGTGATGAAATAGACTGTCGAGAGGAAGACTGGCAGTGGCGAGGCTTCACAGAAGCTATTGATTTCGTTGCGCGGGAAAGACAGGTGTTGATAATAAGGTTCCGAGTTCCAGACTGCTACACCAATACTCGGGCAGGCGGTCGCTTAAAGGTTCCTTTGGTTACTTGTGGGGTTACACCCTGGCTGGTTCTGATCTTGGATGATACACGGGTAGAAGAGTTAGCATAGACGCATAAGCCTGAGGCGTCGAGGCGTTGGTCTTGTGTCGACAGCTGAGAGAAATATGAGAAGGATCTTGCGACAGTCAAGAGGATGGCGAGCCTGGGCTGATGCGTGAAGTGTCGGGGCAGGTGAGCGTATTTCCCGGATGCGCCCAGCGGCCGAGGGGTCAGGATGAGGGTTCTCGGCCATGGTAAGCTAACAATAATACCGTCAGACTTGGCCAAGCCGTGATGCAGGGTAGTTACGAGCGAACGAACCCCCTTCGTCGTCTGGTGAGCGCCAGGGAGTCCATGGAGTCACTTTGAGCACAATTAGCCGCTTTCGGTAAGCGTCCAACGCTCAAGCAACGCCACGACTCTGGGCTCTCGAGCAAGCCCGCTACCCCAGTCCATTGGGCCCGCATCTAAGTTGATCAAAAGACGGCAGCGCAGTGAAATGATTGACTTTACCCGGACCGTGGCTGACGGAGCTCTGGACCTTCCGCTGAACCACTACCGCTCGTTGTCTTCATCACCTACACTTACTTTGGCACCATTTCCTCCATTATACTTTGCTCAGCGTACTACTAATAGCCACCGTCTTGAGACGCGCCCTCGTTGTCTGTGGCCAAGACTGCCAGCATGTGCTGAAGACGAAACCGTTGGCTTACGCTTCCCCGGCTTGGTGTTTACACAGGACCCATTCCGAAGACGTGAAAAGAACTGGGAATACAAATCAGGCAAGACGCTGCGACAACGCGCCAACACCAGACACCATGAGCCACAGCGACATGTCCATGGGCTCCATGGGCTCACTGCCTGCCCTCAGCGACTTTCCACACTTCTATTATGCAGTAGTGGGTAGCGCCGTTGCCGTCGCTACGCTCTTCAATATCTACAACTACCTGCTATATCGACAAAGATTATCGGCAGCAGGACGTGGTGCGCCAACGCCTGCAAAGCCAAAGTCATGGCTTGCACTTGGAAACGCGACCACCTATGCCCTGATACGAGAGGCATCTAGTTATTCGATACATATACCCCTCAAAGGCCGGACCATTAGATTACCCACCATTGGTCGAACATCGCTGATCGTGGCAAACATGATTGTCCTTGTCGTGTTGTGTCTCTATGGGCTGGATCTGCATGATGTACTCAACCGGGAGAGCGTCGGCTTCCGATGTGGTGTTGTCACAATCGCACAGTTCCCAATCATTGTCCTGCTGGCGGGCAAGAACAACATCATCGGCCATCTCAGTGGGATAAGCTACGAGCGGCTCAACTGGATACATCGGTGGTGTGCTCGCTGTATGCTCTTCACAGCTACCATGCACATGGGTTGGTTCTTCAGTGCATGGGCGCCTTACGATTACATTGGCTACCAGCTTCAGAACAGCGACATTGTATGGAAGGGCCTTGCTGCCTGGTGCACCTTGTTCTGGATTGTCTTTAGTTCCATGTCGCCAATCCGAGGGTGGAGTTACGAGATTTTTGTCATCCAGCACATCATCTCCTTTGCGATTTTCCTGGCGTTCGTCTACCTCCATAGCCCCCGCGAAATGCATGGCTACGTCTGGGCACCGGTTGCCATTTTCCTGTTTGATCGCGTTGTCCGAGCTTTGCGGCTCTTGTATCTCAACGTCTCGTTTTTTCATCCTACGCAAAGACAACAAGAAAACGCCAAAGGCTTTTTGACATGCCAAGCCGAATTTACACCTCTATCGCATAACACAACAAAGATAGTTGTCCGAAACCCACCAATGAGCTGGAAGCCCGGTCAACATGTATACCTATCCTGTCAATCAATTGTGCCTTTACAAAGCCATCCCTTCACCATTGCCACGATACCTGAAGATGGACGGATGGAGTTTTATGTCAAGGCTGGAAAGGGAGGCACCAAGCGCTTCCGTAGCTTTGCTGAAAAGTCCGGCAGTTTATCTGAAGCATTAGCAAAGACCAGATCTGTAACCTTTGAGGGGCCTTATGGCACCCTGCGACCACTCCGACAGTTCGACAGTGTTGTTCTTGTGGCAGGCAGTACCGGAATTACCTTCACTATGCCATTACTTCGCGATCTAATTCGGGGCTGGCAGGAAAACGCCAACCGTAGTACTTTGAAACCCAGGTCGCTCCTCCAGACACCACTTGGCGCCGTCACACGTCATATCCGTTTTGTCTGGGTTGTGAAGAGCAGTGGCCAACTAAACTGGTTATCCGAACAACTCACCTCCATCTACGTCGAATTCCAAACTCTACAAGAAAGACTTCGGGACATCAAGCTCGAAATGAGCGTCTACATTACCTGCGATCCCTCCTTCACCGAAGGCCAAAAATCTCTCATCTCAGACATACTCCCTCTCACAGCAACCTCGTCATCACGCCAAGATGAAACTATACACGGCACCCCGCATTACAACGACCCCAAATCTACCTTCCCACCCACCCAAAACAAGTCCACTACTACCGAGAAACAAGAAATCCACCAGATCCGCTCAAACGAAACAAGCAGCCTAGAACTCCAAGACCCATGCAGCATCCAAAGCCCAACCGGCCCACCCACCTGCTACTGTCGCGCCGTCATCTCAGAAAAAGACCCACTCACCCGCAGAACCGCATGTTGCTGCTCAGCTAATGTGACATCACCCCGCAACTCGCATTCTCGTAATACGTCTCTGACAATTACGCATCCTTCCATTGCGATTCTGGCGGGGCGCCCCCAGTTACGCGATATCATTCGCAAGTCGCTTGAGCAGGCGTGGGGAGAGAGCGCCGTCGTTGCGTGTGGACCTCATGGTTTGGGGAGCGATGTTAGGCGGCATGTTGTGGCGTTGAGTGATGAGAGGGCGGTGCACAAGGGGACCGGGGCGCAGGGCATTTATTTGCATACTGAGAGTTTTGGGTGGTGAGAGAGAAGGAGGCAATTGTAGTTTCAATGTGGTAAAGGTTTTATTATTTTTTGAGGGGATGAGGGAAAGTGAATCGTCTGAATGTGTATTTCCTCGGCTATCTTTTTAAGATAATACCTTGAAGGTCTTGTGTAGAACACCTTGGTCCTTTTTTTGCTGCCTAGATTTGTCTTCTCCTTCTCTTGTATCATCCGTCAGCTCTCTTGATATTATATGTATGTCACTTTCACAGCTACTTGATCAAAATCCATTTGCGAAATCATTCATCAGTGTAACTTTGGGTATCTGTCATTGATCAAAATATAGCAATAAAATTCGTCTCAAAGGAAACAAAACACAAGGAGAAACAAGAGACTAGAGTACAAATGCAGTGCAGTTCAACAGCATTAGCGCAACTGCAGCATCGTCCCAAGGAAAAACGCCTCTCTCCAATCCAATCCCTCAAAACATAACACATCAAAAATGAAATGCTCGTATGCGCCCTGAAAATAGAGGAAGCCTCTCACTCCCTGAAAAGGAAGAGAAAAAGTGGCAAAAGCAGACATGCAAGAAAATGATGTGACAAAGGGAAGTAGTCGGGAAAGACGGGACGCAAAAGCATAACATGCCTTTGTCTTTTTCCAAGCAGCAATCCCCACCTTCTACGCCAGGCACTCCATATCCGTTAAAAAATCCCCCAGTCGAGTGATCCTTGAGACCTTCTCGTGTAACGCCTTGAAATGTGTGTATGTGTGTATCTCCGGAACATTGTGTGTTATATATCACCCCTCCTCTTCATCGTACTGTCGTAGTTGTCGTAATTGTTCCGGAGCTGTAACGGCTCGTCCTCCCTATAGGACCATACGCTTGCTGCGGACAATGAAGGGAGATGGCATCTCGGGCTCTGTGTTAGGATCCCAGACAGCGGGTGGGCTGATGCCGCCGCCTCGTTGCTTAACAGGGCTTCTCCGGCCACCGTAGCCGAAGCCCTTCTTTGCGCCACCCTCGTCCTCACTCATGGTCTGGAGGGGAATGCCGCGTGCTTGTTGGAGCTCAACAAGGGTACGGCCTTGAACAGCGCCGTTGTTGCGTAGGGCTTGGGCACGGAACGCTTCGTTGCCCTTCTTTGACGGGAGACCGGCAAACGGCACTGCCTTGGTGGTAGCGCCCGCCTTGCGTGGCGATGTCGATGCGTTATCAGTCGACTTGGCCTTTTGCCGAGAGGGAGATGCTGCAACAATGGGTACTGCAGAGACTGGTCGTGGCTTGGTAGTCCTAGGACCAAGGAGGTTTGGCGCATTACCGAGACGCGTGTTGGCCTTGAGTAGCGGCGCCTGAGCATTTGCAAGGACTTTGAATGGGTCATCATTCCGGGGGCGGCTACCAGAGGCACTGCGGGCTCGTGTAGGCGACGGTAACACTGGAAGATCATCGTCGTCATCGAAGTCGCCATTCCACTCGGCCTCAGTTGGCGATGGAGGGACGTCGGCTTCCCACCTCTTTGCGCCCTCCTTGGCGGCAGCGAAGATATTTTGCTTGGGCTGCGCATTACGGCGGGGAGAAAGAGATAGTCCCTTGAGGGATGTCGGAGCGGGTGAAGGCTCGGCCATCTGAACGTCCATCGGGGAGTCGGGGACTTGTGTTGACGAAGGCTGGTTGAACATGGTACGGGCGCGCACAAGTGGACCGCGAGACGGGCGTTTCGCTTTTGGCCGTGCTGCAATGACAGCATCCTCGGCGGTGTCATCGAGGGAAAGTGATGACAAGTCTGTTCCACTCGCGAAATCAGAGTCTGTGTTTAGCGTGTTTGTTGAGCTGTTGGCAGTTGGGGCCTCAACATCGGTTGGGAACAAGGCGGCCGATGGCCCTGTTGCTGAAGTTGTCGGTGTGCTGGATCGAGGAGCAAGCTTTGGTGACGTGCTGAGACGGTTTGGATACATCTTCAGAGCACGTTCTACACGTCTGTTTACCTCGCCTTCAAAAGTGGCTTGAAGGTGGGCAAGTTCCTTTTGGACGCGCTGCTCGGTCTGGAGCTTCACCTGCCGCTCGATTTCTAGCTGGGCCTTGACTTCCCATTCTCGGCGCAACTGGTCGTCAAGCTCTTTGCGAATCCGAGAGATGGCCTCGCTCGCCTCTTTCTCGCGCTTTGCAGTAAGCATTCTCTGCTCGCGCAGATCTTGCCCTAGTTTAACCACCTCCTGCTCTTTGCGCATCAATTTGACGATTGGCAAGTTCAAAAGAGCGGCTGTGTCTGGGCGGTGATCGGGCGTGGTGTTCAGGCAGCTGGCAATAACTTTTCGAAGCTCGGCC